ATCATATTTAAATAGCTTCATTCTGTTCTCATTTTGAGTATTTCATTAGAAATGGCTGTCCTACTATCAAACATTCTTTTTCATCGTGTTAATCAACTGCATTAAGTTCTTCAATGTTAAAATGTTTATCATTAAAATACACTTTATTTTCAGGTAAAGAAATAATGCATTTATCATTTGCAAAATTAATTTTTAAAATTTAATTGGCTCCTCTGAAACAAATAGGCAACAAAATTTAAAAACAAGTTCACTAGTAACTTATTTTACGATAAATATTTAAATAAATCAAAAGATAAAGTAACATAGCACTGTCTTTATTTTTTTATAAAATGCATTTGCAGAAATGCTTCATCAGAAACTGGTGCTACAAAATTAAATATAAAACAAATTTACATGTTTACATATGTTACTTATAACATAAATATACATTATTTACATGTTCAAAAGTTCAGCATGTTTTGTCTGTGATTCTCAACAGGTGAGAAGTAGGGAAAACAGCACAAATATACCACACACCATTTATATTTTTGCTTTTAAAAGATTGTTCAATACAAATATATGAACACAGTAAGTTTGGGGGTATATGTTCTAAGAGTAAAGTTAGGTATGTCCCATTTTAATCTATGTCCACTACATTTTGTAATTAATTCAAGTTTCATTCTGCTTTGTTCTTTCATTAGAATACATCCGCTACGGTAGACTAAAATTCTCTTTTATAGAAAGGCTTTCTGAAGAAGTTATTTTAAATAAGAAAAAGTCACTTCCCTTGAAAGCCAAGAAAAACATTATTTATTAAACATATATCTAAAAGGAGCTTTAATCAGTGAAAACTAAGAGTTGGATTAGAAAACATCAAAAGGATGGAAGAAAGACACTGTAATTTCTGTTTGATGTATTCTGGTAATTTTTCATTTTCTCCATATCTAAGTGAAACAAAAAAAAAAAAAAAAGATAAAAAATTACTTAATTTCTTGGTTCATATAAGAGTACCAAAAGGCACATTATCTTTTTAATAATTCTTCAATGTCAAGAGGTATTTCAGAAAAATTATACAAATCGTTTATAACTAAATGAAGTTAAGCATACCCAATTTGTTTTCTTTCAAAATAAACCAATTTATAAATGTATTTAAATAATAAAAAGAATATTAGCTCAAAAAACTTGAACTGGCTTTAAAATGTCTACAGCAACCTGAAGATCTATCTGGATTCCTCATAAAACTGAAGACCCTAATCTAAGGAAAATACTAAGCTAAACATATTATGAATATGTTTCTATTTAAATGTTAACAATTTCCAACTGACCATACTAAGAAAATCTGAACTTTCATCTTCTGAACATGGGTTCTGCCCACCCATTTTATAATTACATCCTTCCACTTTCTGGAGCATTTGAAAGAGCTTATTTAACAAAGCCTCTCACTTCATGAGTAGTTCTTTAAATTACGGCACTGCATATGTATACATATTTAACAAAAAAATTGGTAGAGATCCACAAATTATATTTGTCTCATGTAATTACAATAAGCACTTCTCATAACGTATGTTGGTATTGGCATCATCAGCACTCTACCTCTTTTTAGTAAGTTATGGTTTGAAATGTAGACACCAAACCATTGCTTATTCTGGCTATTGCCAGATTCCTTGTTTTGCCATGATGCCTGGCACATACTTCCATACAGAATGAACATACACATTCAAAAATGTATGTCAACATTAATTACATTAAAGAATACAGGCTTTCATTTGAGGAAAAAAAATCTCTTAAAAGATTCCTAGTTTCTATGTTCTTTTACACAAATTGTTTAGGTATATTACTTTGAACCTAGAAGTCTATTACTTCTGAAAAGGGTCAACCCAGTTAGGCTATGGAATAACAAGGCTACAAGGAATCTAACCACTTGCAGTGGATTATCCATACCAGTTACCCTGTGTTCAAGTAGATATTCATAAAAAATGCATTAAAAAGACTACATAAACTGCTAAGAATAATTAACAGTTTAAATGATAGGAATATTATCAAAAATGAAAACAAACTTTATTAAACATTTATTTCAATGTACAGAGAAAACACAGCAAAAGACTGAATCTCAGCCAGTGTTTTAAGAACTTACCGAGTTGTCTGACCATTTGGTGATGTGTAACTGATAGAAGACACTCCTGCCTGCACGACCAACTGGGACCCATCATTAAACTGGACCCACACAGCTCCACTAGTTAACTAGAATTATAATAAGCATGGAATATTACTATAGAGGATCTGAGGTTCTTAAAAGGTGCTCATGTTTAACAGGCTTATAACACAATTAAAAAAAAAAAAAAACAAGGTAACTACAAATTTGGGGCTGTGATGGTAGCAGCATCAAGAAAATTCATGTCTTCAGATTATCCCTTTAATAGCTAGTACATTAATTCTAGATTAATGCTGTTTCTCATTCATTTCCATTAGATATCTGAGTAGTTGTCTTTTCAAATAGTATTTCTAACCAAGAAGAGATTTGGGAAATAACAAAAGCAACACTTTCTTTAATTAGGATTTTCCTCTATTTTCTGTCCTCAGGCCACGAAAATTTCCCTTCTGCCTGAGAACGTTATTATTTTAGCTTTTGAAACTTGTTCTTTCACTCAATGATATTTTTACAATGTGCCACTCTAAAAAGAGTACAGAAAAGACAACATGGACTCTGGGTTTAAATCCAGATTCTGCCAACTTACGAGTAGTACTGTGCAAGTCAATCAACCACTATAAGCTGTTCTTT